CACTTAATGAAGTTTTACCAATAACCACGTAATTTTCTATTTCTCGCTCCATTTTTCAATAAAGTTATGGTTTGATTTACTAAGTCCTTTATAAATTGTGAAGGTCTTATGACCAACCAAGCCAAAAAAAGGAAAGGGCTCAACTATGCCTAATTGGTACTCGCAAACAAGACAAAGTACTAATTCCGAACTCATCTAATTCCAGAAGCTCAAATCAGTCTTTCTAAAGACAAGAGCGGGAATAAGACAACCTTCCTCAAGGTTAGACAGCCCTATATATGCACAAAATCAGATTTCCTCAAACAGAAAAGGACAGCCTCTCGCAAGGCTAAGATTTTAAGGGGCTAAAAGATGAAACTTATGGAATTAACTTTGCACCGGAGAAACCAATGTGCTTCGCCAATCAAGAGGCTAATCACTAGGGTCTGAGTAACCTAGGGTAAGGCCCACCTAACGTGGCTCAACTATTAAGAGCATATACGTGCAGGATTGGTAAAGTCTTCCTTAATCAAGGAGAGACGACCTTGACCGGAAATTCAAGGCCAGATACATAAAGGACTAGGTAAATTAACATAACTAAGCAAGGGAGCCCAAGGACTACCCTGGAGCATGCAGATCCTACAGGTCCGGAACAAGGGCCAACCACCAAAAAGACAGCAAGTCGAAAGCCAGAAGTCTCAAACACCACACAAGGATGCACAGAGAAGTCAATAAAGATGATAAAAAGCAATCATTATGGTATATACGCAGCGTGCAGAAAAGTTAAAGCAGAGTAAAAGATGTCTGTTACACGCCACCCCAAGGGTGGAAAACCACTGCAGGCACGCAGGCCTGGAAAGATGTTTGTTAAAAATGTCATTAAAGAGGAGTTTCATCAGTTACCAAGGTGAGCAGGAGGGGCTTCAGAGGCGGGAGTATCAGCAGCCGAGGTCTCCGCGGGAGCTTCCGGATCCGCCATCAACGCCGGCAAACCCTAGGCTTGGGCGGAGAAAGAAGGGTCCCTCTTTGCAAGGAGGTCGTATAGGGACTTCTGCATCCCATACAGCCCTAACTGAAAGCATAGTGCCCCCTCCTCATCTAGCTTGGCCTCGCCTTTGGGGGTATGGAGCCAATCCAGGGCAATCTCCTCCCTCCGATCCAAGATCTTCTGCTCCACCTCGGCCTTGAGCTCCTCGCTCCCCTTGAAGGCCTGGACAGCGGCCGGGTCGGCCTCCTCAGCTTTCCTCCTTAGCTCTTCCTCCACCACGCGGTGTGCAACCTCAACATCGCTCAGCCTCTTCTGAAGCGTCTCGCCCTTCTGCGCAGCCAGTCCCAGCCTCTTCTCCAGATCTGCAATTTGCTCCTTGAGGCCTGCTATCAGGGACTAGGCGTCATCCTGCCCCTCATCCAGGCGGCAGGATCCTGAGGAAGCCAAGACGAAGGCCTGGAGATTACAAAACCAAGATTATGAGCAAGGGCAAGTCAGAGGAAGACAAAACAACAGTAAAAGATTGTAAGGCAAACCTCAGAGAGAGAGAGCCGACGGCGCGCCGGATGGCTGTCCGAGGGGACAAACCCCGAATCTCCTCCTTATCAAGGGGAGGAGTCACGGCCAGGCCAAGCGCTACCGGGTTCACAATGCGGCGGAACAGAGAGGCAGAACCAGATTTCATGGAAAGACGGACAAAATGAACAGGTGTCGGGGTTTCCCCCTGATTGCCACCTCTTTGGGACTCGGCATCCGAGCCCGAGTCCACATCGACACCATCTTCGGAAGATTTGAGGGCAGCTTTTCCTTTCTTCCTGGGCCCGGAGATAGGCCGGAGTGCCAGCCTCTTCCCAACCTCCTTATCAATGGGGGGTTGAGGGTCAACAACCGACGTGTTCAGGAGCCCAGCACTATCTCCGGGGGCGGACCCCCCTGACTTCTCCGAGGTTACCCCAACGCTTCCTCGGGTCTGGATTTTCCTGGCAGGGACTAGGGAACCGGGGGTGGCACCAGTTTTCGCCGCAAGCCGTTCCAACCGGAAGGCCATCTTTTCACCCTCTGAAATCAAACATTGGTCAAGTCAGAAAAGGGGATACTCAAAAAAAAGAAAAAAAAAGAAACAAAAATATGAACGCCAACTCAAACAGAGCCGACCTGGCAGAAAGGTAATAATAACCACTCCATCCTCACCTACGTAATGGCCCATCAAGAACGGTGCACCATCAGCGATCAGCTTAGCGGCATCCTTATTGCCCTCTGACAGAAAAGGCATGACCCATTTCTGAATTACCTCCCCCCCACTTGTTCTCAAACTGCAACCTTCCATCCATGGGGGTGACCCATATCCATTTCCGCCTCCAACCCTTGAAAGAGTCGGGATAAGACTTGGCCTCGAATAAACGATGACCAGCCCGTTGGGAGATTGAGAGGTATCCTGGGGACTCAGAACCGCCAGGTCGTACAAAATGGAAGAAGTGAGGGAAGATGTCAATGAAAGGGCGAATACCTAGGTGCATGCATCGGGCAAGGAACCCGACTATGAACATGTGGGTGGTTGGGAAAAATTGGCCAGGGATCACGCCATAGTAACCCATGACGCTCAGGACAGCAGAATGAAGGGGGAATCGGAGACCTACTTGGAGACTGGCTATATGAACTCCAAAGTGAAGAGGGGAAGGAGAATCAACAATATTCTGCCCAGGTGTGAGGCGGGAGCAGACAACGCTTGGGCCCGCTAAGATCACGGCTTCGCCGAATTCGGCATCGAACAGAGCCACGACCGGAACCTACCGGGCATGCTCGCAAGAGAGGAAGAAGTGAGTCTCCCTCCCATCCGGATCTACCGGAATACGGGACCGTTCAGAGCAAGCCCCTGCCTCTGGAAAGACGTGGTGCAGTGGGACGGAATTTGAAGAAGACATCAGGGGAACTAACCTGATGAAGCTTGAAGGTGAGGAAAAGAGTCACGCGGTTTAGAGCTCCCAACCGAGAAATCAAATGCCAAAGCGGAAGGAAAGTTGCGAAAGAACGCAATGAAAGACGATGAGCATTTAAATAGCCGAAAATTAGGGTTTGGGAACCGCAATGATGACACTTGGGTATTGAAGATGGTAAGTCGTATCGGAAACTGAACCGAATGGCAGGCCTATGTCAAATCGGGCGCATTTAATGCAAACGGCACGGCAATCCTCCTCAAAAGATTCCAAATTTGAAATCGGTCATTCCTAGGGATGGACCCGGGCCGGTCCGGTTCCGGTTCCGAGCCGGGCCCGAGTGGGCTTTTTTTGCAAAATGTTGGGCTCGGAACCGGCCCGGGTTGATACCGGGTCCGGCCCGGGCCCGGCCCGGGTCAAGTTCAATTTTTTTTTTGGTTTCTAATTAGCACCCGACCCCCCCCCCCTCACCCCCTCCCCCCAAAACACCCAACCCTAACCTAGAAAAGCAAAAAAATTGAAAAAAAAATTGAACCGGGCCCGACCCGAACCGCCCGGTTCACCAAAAGTTGGGCTCGAGCCCGGCCCGCCCGACCCGCACAAACGAGCTAAAAGCCCGGAACCGGCCAACCGGTCCCGATTCAGTTTGGGCCCAAACAGTAACGGGCCGGGCCGGTTCCGGGTCGGGCCGGCCCGGTTTAGTCCATCCCTAGTCATTCCGAATACTCTCCCAAAATCCAGCCTCGCTGATTTTGGAGAGTAGGGGGGCTCGTGATGGTACCATGAAACCCAACCATGGCCCAATTGTGTGAGTCTGACCCATGAATGAGATTAACCTTTAACGAAATTAATGATAGATAACCACTGGGCCTAACTAGGAACCAAGCCCACGAGAAGAACCCACAGCCAGGCCAGACTGGAAAGCATGCCTCGAGCCTGGGCGGAGTTCTAGTGAAGCTGAGATATTCCTAGGTATTGATGGACTCGGGCCGGGTCAGGCCCGGGCCGGGCCTAGGCCCTGTCGGGCCGCCGGGTAGTATGACATGGGCCCGGGACCGGCCCGAGGGTTGGGCGGTTCCGGTCCGGTCCGGGCCACCCGCCCGGGTCACGGGTCAGGTCCGGTTCGGGCCGGGCCGGTTAAATTTTTTTATATATAATTTATATTTTATAGTTTATAGTTTTATACGAGTATTAAAAACAAACTTCAATTGCATTTATTTGAAATGAAATAGGAACTACATTTGAAAATTAAAACAAACTTTAACAGATAAACATTTTGAAAATTGTAATCAATCGGAACTTCCCGCACCTCCCGATCCTTTGGCTTTGCCTTTGTCACATGACTTCATATGCTTGATTGTCATTCCGAATCCGCCAGAAACCCCCATGCTACATTTTTTCTCGCACCATTTGCAAATTGCGTACCACATCCCGGTCTTCGGGTCCTTCTGCTTATCAAAATTATACCGTATAATGGCATCTTGATTTTCCATCTTAACTTCTTAAGTATAAACTATAAAGTAGATATATAAATAATAAATATAATATATTGGAGAATAAGAGAATTAGAGAGTAGAGAGTTAAGAATAGGATTTAGGAAGAATTGGAGAAGAGATATGAAAAAATGTTTAAGATTAGGAGTATTTATAGGTTTTTTTACCCCCCACCCCCCCCACCACCCCCCCCCCCACCAGCCAACCCCCCCGGACCCCCCCTTTACCCCACCCAACGGCTATATAGCCGTTTGGGTTGTCCCCAGCCCCAGCCCCAACAGCTAGTAGCCCAAACCAAAAAAAAAAAAAATTTTAAATTAGACCCGGACCCGGGCCCGGGCCCGACCCGGCCGGGTCACAATAATCCAGCACCGAGCCCGCCCCGCCCCTTCCCCACGATTCGGGTCCATACCCGGTCCCGGACCGCCCGACCGGGCCGGTCCCGGGCCCGCACAGTACCGGGCCGGGCCGGGTCACGGGCCGGGTGGCCCGAACCGAATCCAACCCTGTTCCTAGGGCTGACGTTGCACGCTATCAGTGTTAACGGCAGCTGGCAAAAGTTAAACGGCTGGAACGTGGGATAAAGGAACAATCATTGCACAATGGCCGAGACGTTACAAGAGTCCTATTCGAGCTAATGCATCATTAATGGCATTTATTGTATCAGTATTCTTTTGTAACACTAGTTCCTTAGTCTATAAATACAACTTGTAAACCTCCAAAAGGAGGAGAGACCTTGATCAATAAAACACTGCCTTACGCTGCCAAATATCATCTGCTTCCGTAGATTTAGCTCTTGTTGTTGGATTAAACTCCATCAATCTTGATCATTGATAATGAACTCGTAAACTTGTATATTGTCTCGACCGTTGATGCACATAAATCTTGCGGTTCATATTCAACAAAACAAGCAAAGTGAAGCAAAATATGCATCGCAGATCGCACTGAGTTCAATTCTTTTCTCCAGTGCAATAAAGGTTTTAACATAAGCTAAGACCGATGATAGAACCTAATGAAGGCCTAATTTTTTACAAGGTCTAAAAGAACTACTGATGTCAAACAGCATAAGATACAAATCTAGAGATTTCTCTCATGCGGTTGGAGCCAAGGAAATCCAAGGAAATCAAATATTTCCTTCTCTGTGTCAAACTTTAAATTAGCACCTTTTAGACCCTGCATCATCATTTTCAATGATTAATTGCAACATAAAAAAAATGAAAATCATAAGAGAACAGATGTAAAGCAACCGTACATATTTCCCATCAGAACCTTGACTTGAAGGAAATAATCCTGTATCATCCAATCGGAAACCCTTTGACTGGGCTAATAACCTAAGCCTGCATAACATGACAGAAAAGCTCAGCTAAACTAAAATTAAAATATATATATCTTCAAAACAATAGAATAAAGTAAAGGGAAATTTAATCCCCTCACGTTATGTCATAAATATTTATGCAACCTTGCGTTTTCAAAAATCAATTAGTTACCCCTGAGTTTCGATCATTCTCATTCTTTGCCCCTCACGTTAATATTTGTTAAATTTAAATGTAACATAATTCTTAAATTCAATGAAAATGTCTAAAATTAATTTTAAATGTAAAACACAAATTATTATTCTCCATGCCGGTCAACTTTGGCAAAGTTCTAAGGGACGGAGGTAGTATTCTTTAAGGCGTGCCATGGAGAAGTTGCTGCTATTATGGAGGTTCTAGATGACTACAGAGTGGCATCCGGTCAGGTGATTAATTTAAATAAATCTAAATTATTTTTTAGCTCTAATGTCAGTGAGGATGTAAGGGCTAGTTTAATTACCATGCTGGGGGTGTGTTCGGCGGGGACAGAAGAGCGGTATTTGGGACTCCCAGCCTTAATTGGGAAGGGGAAAAAGGAGATCTTAGATTATCTGAGGCAAAGAATTATAAAAAAAAAATCAAAAATTGGAATAATCGTTTTCTTTCTAAGGCAGGGAGGGAGGTCCTGTTAAAAACAGTGGTTCAAGCAATGCCAAATTACGCAATGAATGTATTTTTGTTGCCTTTGGAGTTATGTAGGGAAATTGAAGTTCTCATGAATGGTTATTGGTGGAATGGCAAGTCCGAGAAAGGGGTCAGATGGACTAGCTGGGAACATTTATGCCAACCAAAAAATTGCGGGGGGGGGGGGGGGGGGGGGGGTCTGGAGGTTAAGGGAGTTTAATCTCTCGATGTTAGCAAAACAAGCTTGGCATATTTTTACTGAACCAAATACATTAGCTGCGAGGGTGTTCAAAGCCCGTTATTTTCCAAGAGGAAATTTCTTAAATGCCAAGTTGGGTGGGAGCCCCTCTTTTATCTGGAGGAGTCTCTTCGAGACTCGGTCGCTGATTAAGGCGGGATATAAATGGAGGGTTGGGGACGGGAAGTCTATAAATATATGGAAGGAACCATGGCTGCCCGATGATGCTAATCCCAGGGTGTCAACACCTCAAGTTCCGGGCATGGAATGTGCTACGGTGGATGGTCTTTTGGTGGAGAATGGGGGGAGTGGGATGTTGATATTTTGTATGATTTATTTAATTGCAGGGACAGGAGGCTAATTCAAAGTACTATGCTTAGCTTGCGGAAGGTGCCTGATAGAATAACTTGGAGTGGAGAGACTGGTGGCCATTTTTCAGTTCGTAGCTGTTATCGGAAGCTCGTTGGTGAGAAGGTTGCGGAAGGATGGTCTGGGTGGACACAAATGTGGAAGTGGAAGCTTCCTCCAAAGATTAAAACCTTTTTCTGGCAATTATGCGTTGGCTGCCTACCAACTCGAGATGCTTTGCGACAGAGGGGTTCCTTGCCCGGAGATATGCGGTCTTTGTGAAGCGACTGAAGAATCATCCTTGCATCTGTTTGCTGGCTGTCAGTTGGCTCTGGAGGTGGGCCGGTTACTGGGATGGAAGGTGTTTACTAATCTGCCAGGCAGCTTTAGTGAATGGTTAGAAGCAAATTTTCAGCTGAGAAAGGATGACGATTTGAAGACTTTAGTTTGGGGTTGCTGGGGTATTTGGTGTGCGAGGAACAAATGGGTGTGGCAGGGGGTTCAGACAGAGGCTTCACAGATTGTTTCCCAGACTAAAGCTTTTATCGAGGGATGGTCTAAGGCTCAACAGAGTGGAGGTTCGCGGGGGGAGCTCGTTTCAGCTGGGAGTTCATTCTGGCAACGTCCATCTATTGGAAGAATAAAGTTAAATGTCGATGCTTCAGTTTCATCTTCTGTTATTGGTCTTGGATGGGTTGTGCGAGATTATATGGGGGAGTTCTTGGCGGCAGGTGCATGCCCACGGCGAGGGAGGTGTTCTCCAGTTGAAGCCGAATTAATGGGCATTAGGGAGGCACTAAGCTGGCTTAAGGAGCAAAATTGGGACTTCGTAGATGTTGAGTCTGATTCTTTGCAGGCTATTTCAGAGATTCGCAAGCAGGATAGTTGCTCGATTTTGGGGTTATTAGCGGAAGATATCAAAATTCTTAGTAGGCATTTTACTAGCATTACCTACACCCATGTTAGGCGTTCTGCGAACACAGTTGCTCATGTGTTAGCTAGGGTGGCTTGTTCTTTGTCTGATCGCCGGTTTTGGTTTTTTTCTTCACCGGATTGTATTACTCATTTACTCATGTACTCCATCATGATTTAATTAATGCTAGTTAATTTGGTTTGGTTCAAAAAAAAAGAAGACAGTCGTTGAAAATTTAATTTCAGGATGCTCTATCACGAGGAGATTCAAAGATTAGGAACTAAAGTCTTCAACTTGAAATGGACATACCTCCTGTTTAGGACATCATTCCCCGTCCAATGTACTAGACCAAATGCATATATATTTCTTGGATACACCTAAAGACAGATGGATTAGTTGCATGCCTACTAAAACACAATGGTTACTTTAGCAAATTAAGACTTGCAGAGAAGAACAATTATAATAAAGGACTACCCAAGAGTGGCAGTTGGACTGTCAAGAACCAAAGACACATGCATTTGCATATTAACCGGCAGTCAATTCTGAAAAAAGCTTTGAAAAGGGGAAAAATAAAAAAAACTTTTCTGCTCACTCATTTCTACTAAAGAATTTGATTTATGCATCAAATGAAATGGTGCCAAATAACTAGTCCGTATGAAGTGGACTTGAGCTGTTTTGAAGGGAAATGAAACTGGACGGTAGCAAAAATTTGCACAAAACCACATTGTAATTAGATTAACCCAAAACTCATGTGTACCTTCAAGTCAATGCGGCGCCGTAACTCTTCACCAGGATAAGTGCAAAGTCCGAAATAGGTGTCTACTCCTGCTTCTGAATTCTGTTTATATGATACTAGTCACTCCGGGTACATGGTAAAATTAAACGAAAACTATCTGAAAACATTAGCCAGAAATGTAATTTACCATATCTATCTGGATGCCCATAGATATGGCATTAAAATGTCAGTTAATTTCAGAAAAATGAAACAAAGAGAGGTTGCTACGTTGCTCCTCAATATACATCTTGGCCACTTATGCTACTCAAAGTCCAAGATACATAAAAAAATAATAATTAAATAAATAAATAGATACACACAAATACACACATATACTGGGTATTTACCTCTTCACTGTGAATACTGAAGATCAAATCTTCCCTCAAAAACTTCATTTCTTTGAGACGTTTTACATATCGTGCAAGAAAACCTATATGACTGAAGGAAGTACATCAGAAATATCATATTTTTTAGTTGAATTAAGCATTTCAACTCTAAAGGAATGGGTATATACATGCCAGACCTTTAAAATCAGAAAAGATAACTTGACCAATAGGATTGAAGAGACATTTCCCCCCTGTTTCTCCTGTTACCTTTCTCCATCAGGATGAGTGATGACAACGTCCATATCCCCACAAGATGCCTTTCCACGCCTATATGACCCTCCACACACAATAATTACCTGTAATATTGTGTTGGTACTTGGTAGTAATGGATGTTTTCCATTATTTGCAATGGAGCCAAAGATTCATTATTTTTTGGCTTGAGATTATGATGGAATAAAGCAAAATGACTCACTAAACTGTCTGTGCTTCTTTGATATGAAGCAACAGTCAGTCCATGCAATTTTGGACGGGATTTTCACTATGGGTCATCCGGAAACGGTCTCTCTGCTTTAGTACAGGGGTAAGACTGCGTACATCCGACCCCCCCTTACCCCACCGTAGGTGGGAGCCTTTGCGGCACTGGGGTAAATGAAAATGAAAAATGATGACTTGGTAGTAATGGATCATTTTCATTTTCATTTACCCCAGTGCCGCAAAGGCTCCCACCTACGGTGGGGTAAGGGGGGGTCGGATGTACGCAGTCTTACCCCTGTACTAAAAGCACAGAGAGACTGTTTCCGGATGACCCATAGTGAAAATCTCGTCCAAAATTGCATGGACTGACTGCTGCTTCATAACAAAGAAGCGCAGACAGTTTAGTGAGCCATTTTGCTTTATTCCATCATAATCTCAAGCCAAAAAATAATGAATCTTTGGCTCCATTGCAAATGATGGAAAAACTTGGTAGTAATGGATGAACAACATAAATAAAGAATACGAGAGGTGGCAGCTTGGATTCAGGCATAATAAAAGAGGAAGTATAGAAATTTCTCGTTCAGAAGTATGATCAACTGACGTTGTTGGACTCTCACGAAGGACAATTTTAAAAAACCAGATTAAGTTTGTTTCAGAAGTCAGAACTTTCATGCCTTAGGCTCCATGCAGCACATTAATAAAATCTTATATGTTTCTTACTTTCTGTAGCTACCTTCATCAGCATCCTACCACATTGTTAAATTTTAAAAATAGTCATATTAACATGAAAATGCAGATTACAAATTCAACCAGAGTTCTAAAGCAACATGCTCCATTCAGCCCATTAAAAATACGACCACACATTAGTAATTGATAATATTATCACTGTAATAGTGTAATACTGTATAAGCCATAACTTCCAAACTTTGCACATTTTCCAAGAAAGGACATTGGTCAGTACAATTGACAATTGAAACCAATCAATTGGATACAATGCTTACCCCAGGTAAAATCTCTTGCGCAGCCTTCTGAAGAAGTTGGTCCATCATTTCAACCTACAAGATTTATTAGCAGGAGAGAAAAACAGTACTGGTTTGAGTTATGATAAAAAGGAAATGAAGCTCACCTCATGACGTGGAATTCTTGTTTTGATGTCATGAAAATACTTCAAGCCTAATCTTTGCGCATTAGTAAGTGATTCTTCACTTTTGAGGTCATCTAGAGTCCGGTGCCCTTTCTCATAAAGTTTTAAGGCAGTTGCTGGGCCAACACCCCATACTTCTCCAAACAAGCTGGTCGTCCGTACCTGAGGAATTCTAAGAATGTCAGTTTCCTAAACAAGCATTAGAACTTGAACTGCTTCAGTGTTAATATGGCATGAAATATAATCATAATTAGGGAAATATAGATCAAATATGGCATGGAATATAATCATAATTAAGGAAACCCACACTCAAGTATTAGTTGTCATACGAAGTAACTCATTAGCAAATTATTGCATAAACAATTCAAGAATTTGTGCCTTGAAAAATACATCTTTAACTTGTAGATTACTTACTTCAACCATCATTGAGCCTTCGGCAAAGGAAAAAAAAGGACTGGAAACAGGAGAAAAATCTCAAGTGTACCTTTTCATCCTGCTCAAAATGCTCCAACTTGGCCAGCTTTCCTGTGCTCACTATTTCCTGAATCTGACATTACGAAAATAATTTCCTTTTATCTTCAATCACTTTACTTTTATAATGAAAGCACAATCTCTGATGGAGATGCAATTAACATAGAGGATACAACTAGGACAGAAAATAAAAGTTTAAAAGCAATCACGCTGTTTACTTACATGTTCCTGCAATGACTTTCCTATACCAGGAAGGTTTCGAGCCTGGTCGACACTTTCAATTTTGAAAGGCAGTTTCTCAATAACTGGGATGGCTTTGTAATAGCTAAATGACCTTCGATCATCACCAAGTGCTGTCATTGAGGGTTTGGTTGTTCAGCATAAACTTCTAACAAGCTTATGCCAATATGCCATAATTTCCAAGTATAAAAAACAATGTAAAGAGCACAAAATTTTTACCCCTATAAATGTCAACAAGTTTTCCAAAAGTCTCAGTAATGTTCTTGTTTAAATTGGGAGGCAGATAAAGCACTGATGATTTTGATGTTTCGGCCTGTTTAATGATCACACAGGTCAAAAGTCACATGTCAAAATCAAAATACCCTGAAACCAGAGATATGAAAGAAGGAAAGATAAGCACAGACTCCAACAAAGTAACAAGATGAGCTGGAATCTTGTCTTCTTGGTGCAATAGGAAGAAAAATAAACCATACAATTTTTTACAGTAACTTGGTATTTATATGGATGGAGGGTGGGCTTAGTCTATATTATGATAAATATATCAGATTTAACAAAAATTGAAAGATTTACACAGTTTGCAGTTATATAACATTTCAATTACCATTTATTGGCTATTAGGAACACTCTATCATCAAGAATTCAAGATAAGTAAAAAGCCCTCTAAAGCCTTTGCCTACAACCCCCTCCATCCAAACAGGCCCATAGGGAGAAGGGAATGCCTATTCTTACAGCCTCTCCACAAGGATAAAGGACCTCATTGATGATTTCCAGGCTTGATGAGCATTCATAGTTGGATGCAGCTCCTACTAACTGATGCTCAAAGTGGTCCTCTGTATGAACATTGTCCTTTTGATTCATTATATCGGTACCCTCAGAAGAGATCCTGCACTTTTTCGGTGTAAGCTCATTATTGCTACAATCACTTCTAATGTCTTCCTTGAGAGTATCTTTGCTCCCCACTGATTCAAGAGATACAGTGTACAAATCTTCAGACACCTTTTCACCTTTTGTCAAGCTGTCTTCCACCCACTGATATTGCAGCACTCTCTGAGTGGCATATAATGACCAAAACATCAAATGTTCAGACACTTTGTCCAAATATTAGTTCAAATGAGTACAAAATTTATGAATGACAGAACTTCTGAAACTCTACCACTACAATCAATCAACAAATTAGTAAATTACTTAACATTCCAGTACGAATATTGTGCAAATCATTGTTGTAAAAACACAGGTTCCTGCTACAGAGCACATTGGGTCCTAATGCATTGTTGGCAAATATTGTGGTTTGGCAGGACATGAGTGGAGTTAGCGAGGCCTAAGTGAGAAAAATACTAGGTGTCCAAGGAAAGTCTATCAGGGGCATATCCACCATGGGGGCAGCTGCCCCCAGTGGACTTCTTTAAAAAGATATTTAACGATGTTGTTTTAGCATTTGGTTAAAAATAATTATAGTTTTCGACAAATTCTAATCCCTTAGAAAGACAAAAATATACTGTTAGAAATGCAATCTCACAATGGTTTGAAAATATAAAAGAGCGTAGAAGTGTAGTACTTTCTAATGAAATTTTATTAGATATTGGAGGTAAGTTTGAATGTTTTATCTCAAAATATTTTATCAATTAAATGGTATTTTTTATGTCTGGGTAAATACTTTTTATCCTGTAATTGTTTATAATATCGCATCATGTGAGTATAAATTCTAGATATGCCACTAGATATCATCACCTAATTTATCTTTAAGTTTCAAATCAGACTATCGGACTAGCCTAAACATCAAAATGCTAAATTGCAATAAATTGACAGAAAAACATATTCCTGGAAATATATGATCAATGATCATAGTAGTTTACTTTTGCACTTAAAGCTCCATACTGCAGATAAAAAACCTACCCACATGCAAATTTCAACACGAATTCATGAAAGAAACGAAAAATAAATATCATGGGGTTGAAGCTTACAGCTTTGGACCTAATAACGCGTTTGTGATCAAGTTTCTTTAAAAGGATATTAGCATCTGCGGCAAAAACATGAGTGACATTTTTCGAAAAGTTTGCCTCAATGCTAGCCCCCATTTGTTTCAATCTCTGCTTCCATATCTATCCGTAAAACAGATTCCAAAAGTTAACATTGGAAAACGAAAGAAATAAGCATTCAGTTACGAAGTACTCCGTATTTTTTAACAGACAGGAGTAGAAAATACCTGTAATCGGCGAGATTGGACTCCGTCTTCAACTAAGAAGATTACCATTCTGCTGAACATTCCATGAGGATCACAGAGTGGAGATTTAATCTTCCTTGGCGGCATATTTGTGTCAAGTTTCAAGAGTAAAAAATGTCGGAATGGGTGAGAAAGAAAAACAAGAGTAGAAACAAGAGAGCCAGCCAATGTTCTCAAATACTCCCTTAAAACTGGACATATTGTTATTAATTGTAACATGAAATGGAATCAAATAAGTGTAGGTGACAACTCCGGTACCTTTCTAAAAAATGGGGTACCGTACCTACCATTCATTTGATTGGACCACACCATTTTATCATTTTTAATTTAGAATTAAATAATTCAACTGCTACATTCTCATTGGTCCATGTAGACAAATGTATAGTACCTTATGGGTACCATAGAATCTACCATAAGTGTAATACATGGACAACCGTGTGGACCGATGGACTTACCAGCCTTGACCGTGTAATACATGAGAAGGAGAAAATTATTATTCTTAAAGACTAGATGATAAATGTGAATCACACAATTATCATCATAGAATCATAATTATGATGTTCTAATTCAATTATATTTCAACTCTCTGAATGGTCATCCTCTAATTATTATGGGGTATTAGTTACCTCGTTAAAAACTTTACTATGGTTTCCACTATTTGATGAAAATCATAGTTAGGGAAAAATAGTAGTACAACATTTGATGTCATAGTATTATAATGTATTCTCTCGTTAAAAAGCTTGTCAGGAAAAACTCAATGTGATAAAAACTTGAGCGAAGGGAAAAAGAGTGCAGTGCATTATATTACTCCCCCTCAATTTAACATATACGGCACATTCCAATTTTGTCGACCTGTTCTTCAAATTTCTTGGGGGCCAATGATTTTGTGAATAAATTAGCAAGGTTGTCGCATGACTTGATTTGTTTGACATCAACTGTTCCTTCTTTCTCAAGATCATATGTGGAGAAAAGTTTTGGATTATATGCTTTGTTAGTTTGTTCTACCCCCTTTGATGTGACCTACTTTGATCTGAGCTATAGATGTTGTATTATCTTCATAAATCACAGTAGGATCACGGGTAAAAGATTTTATGCCACATTCATTTTGTATGTGTTGGATCATTGATCTCAATCAGATACACTCTCGCTCTGCTTCATAAAGAGCAATTAATTTTGCATTATTTGATGATGTGGTGGTTAATGTTTTCTTCATTGATCTCCACGAGATAGCGGTATCACCATAGGTGAGTAAATATCATGTTTGTGAGTTTGTCTTGTGTGGATCAGACAAGTATCCTGCATCGACATAGCCAATTCAGATCAATTGTACCATTGAGATTGCGAAATATATGTTTGACGCCATTACAATGTCTTCTTGTCGGGGAAGAACTGTGCATGACTAATAACTTTACAGAAAAAAGCAATATGTGGTCGGATATTATTAGCCAAAGACATTAATGCTCCGATAGCACTCAAATATGGTGATAGATAGTGTACTCGGGGGTATCTATCCGGGGGGTTACTGCGGGAATAACTAGAGAGAAGTCAAAGCAATAAGTAAGAGAGAGTGAGTATTCAATCTGAATTTAGCGTGTTTTACAATGGGGAAAAGAGGTGCTATTTATAGCAGCAATAAATGCTAGACATGGACACGTGTCAAGCATCCGACGGCCGAAGGTCATCTCAATCGGGATGGCACCAACATGTGCATGTGGCCGCTTTAAATGCGGTGGTTGGATGTGACGTTGTATTTGGTACGGTGATTCAGGCGTACGCGGAGAGGATATTCTGTCGAGGAGGATGCTTTCGGTTGTACATGACAAGCTGAAGGCTCTTCGTACCGGGGCCCCCTAATGCCGAGGGCTCCAAGTGTCGAAGGCACGGTTTTCAAGCCTTGTTATCCTGTGATGTTTCTGAGCTTGATTCTGTCAACGGTAGACTTCGACCATGGGGCCGAAGGCATCCCTTTGCGTGTCGTGGGCTACTTAGAGTTTCCTTTGCTGGGCATGGCCATTTTGGGCCTTTTGGGCCTGATTGCAGTTGTTGAAGTATGTGGGCCGAGGGTCTCTGGGCCATATACTCCATCATATGGTATTTCAGGACCAAGGATTTTTTCATCATCTTCACAAGGTCGGATAGGATCATCATGCACATTGAGAGATCAAACCACCGTTGGAGAATTGAGTAGGTGTGCTTTATTCATATAAAACCGCTTCAAAAGTTTCTCGGTATAATTCATTTGGTGGATCATAATATCATTACTCAAATGTTCAATTTGAATGTCAAGACAAAATTTGTCATTCCAGTGTCTTTCATTTCAAATTCTTTCATGAGACATTTTGCAGTATTTTCAATTTCATTGGAAGTTCCAATAATATTTAAATCATCAACATATACTGCAATTATGTCGAATCCTGATTCAGATCGTTGAATGAAAACACATGGACTAATATGGTCATTTTTATATCCTTCTTTAATCAAATATTCACTGAAATGGTTATACCACATGCGTCCAAATTGTTTTAATCAGTGTAATGACTGTTTCAATTTTATGGAAAATAAGTCTCGGGATTTTGAGCTATAAGCATCAGGTAATTAAAAACCTCCGGGGATTCTCATATATATATATATATATATATATATATATATATTTGTATCGAGTGAACAATATAAATATGCAGTCACTACATTCATTAGTCGCATTTGTAGCCTTTAAAAAAGATGTGCCAATTAAGTATCTTAAAGTAGCAGCATCAAATACTGGAGAATAGTTTCATCATAATTGATTCCTGGCATTTGAGAAAAACCTTTGGCAACAAGTCGGACATTCTATCTAACGATTTCATTTTTCTCATTGCGTTTACGCACAAAAGCCCATATAAAACCAATAGGTTTTACGTCTTTTGGCGTATGAACTATTGGTCCAAAAGCATTATGCTTTTCTAGTTATTTTAATTTTACCTGAATTGCTTAATTCCATTCTAGCCAATCATTTCTACGAAGACATTCGTCAATAGATTTAGGCTCACTATCATCGTGTTCATTCATTATATCTCTGGTGATGACATATGAAAATATATCATTAACATCAATATTTTTTATATTCCATTGTGTTCCATTAGAAACGTAATTAATTGAAATTTCAAAATTATTGACGTTTCTATCTTTATCTGGATTATTTACCTCCACAAAGGCGATTGGATCCTCTTCTTAGGTATCATTATTATTGATGTTATCTTCAAAGTTAATATTTTCGAAAAATGTTCATTTTCTTCTTGAGAATGTTGAACTTCTTTGCCATTACAAAGTACATCTTACTTTTTATATTTTCTTGGTTTCAAATCTCTTGAACCAAGTGGTCTACCATGTTTTTTACGTTTCATAGACTCATTAGCAAGAGTTCTTTCACTATTCTCTGCATTAATTTCTATTCGAGAAGGAGCATTCATAGCTTGAAATGTGATTTTGTCACTTTTTTTGAGTCTGCAAAAGCGTCCGACAATTGGTTTGCAACATTTTTGTAAATGAATGATCTTTTGAATTTCTTGTTCACATGCATTTGTGCGTGAATCAAGAAAAGATAAATTTATTGCATTCCAAGTAATACCTTGCGCATGTGGTCCATTTCTCTATTATCTCATTAAGCCTGGGAATACAATCTCATTAAAATGACAGTTATCGAACCATGCGGTGAATAAGTCACCAGTCACAGGTTCTAGATAGTTTATAATTGAGGGAGATTTAACACCAACATAAATTCCCATCACAACCAAATATGTTTAGGATGTGCAATTGGCCTAAGCCGAATTAAATTTGCAGCATGCATTATAGCATACACCCATGCAGATGATGATAATCTTGATTTCATCAATAATGGTCTAACAATTAATTGTAATTGCTTAATTAAGGATTCAACAAGATTATTTTGTGTATACACATGTGGAACTGGATGTTCCCCATCATTTCCAATTGACTTGCAATAGTCACTAAAAGATTGGGATGTAAATTTTCCTACATTATCAAGTCGGATTTTCTTTATTGAATAATCCGGAAATTGTGATCTGAAACGAATAATTTGAGCAAAGAAATTTGTAAATGCAAAATTTCTAGTCGATAAAAGACTAACGTGTGACCAACGTGTTGATGCATCAATGAGCACCATAAAATATCGAAGGGTCCACAGGGAGGGGCAATTGGCCCACAAATATCTCCTTGAATTCTTTCTAAAAATGCAGGAGATTCAACTCCAATTTTAAATAAAGATGACCTGAGAATTAATTTGCCAAGAGAACAGACAGTGCACGAAAAATCACTTGATTGTGGAATTTTGACATTATTTAATGAGTGCCCAAGTGAATTTGAATAATTTTGTGCATCATAGTGCTGCATGGATGACCTAAACAGTCATGTCACAAGATAAAAGAATTTATTCTCCACCTCGTGCCCCTTACCCTGTCAATACAATTTTCCTCATTTTGACTGGACCAATTCAGTGCGAGTATCCATTAGTCAAGGATCACCAATTCACCACTGTCCATTGTCATCCAAATGTGAAACCTTATGTAACAACCATATACTGGGGGGCGTATGGGTGGACCGAGCCCTGGGACGAGATTGGACGGGACTGGGGTTTTGGGTTGCAGGCCCGGGTTTGTACCGGGCCGGGGCCAGGGCCGGGTTGGGTCGGTCACAGTTTTAGAAAAAATTGGCTTATCGAATTTATTCCTACCCCTACCCCCCAAACCACCCAACCCAACCAACCTAGCAGCCAATCAATTGAAAAAAGGGCTCGGACCGGTCGAGCCGGTCCACCATTTAAGCATCCCGGAGCCCACCCATATTCCTCCCGTTTCGGGGGCCCCAGTCCCGGAGTACCGCCCAGCCAGGTCGGGCCGGTGCAGTATAGGCCAAGCCGGGTCAGGCCGACCGTCCCAGTCCATCCCTAGGGGGCGTAGCTCACCTAGTCACGTGGTAGGAAGAGAGTGTCGTAAGGGAGAGATCTCAGGTTCAACTCTAAACAATGATTTGGGATGTAACTTCACTCTCTTTCCACCAGAGTGAGATCAAGGCTCAATTTACCCTACCATATAACTGACTGGTCAATTATGGGGACCTCTAGGAGTGGACTCGGTCCGGGCCAACCGGCCCGGCCCGGTGAACCGGTTCCGAACCCAGTTCGGGTCA